TCTCGCTCTCAATCAGATGCTACGCTCTCAATCAGGCGAATATGTTGTTAAAGGTGGCCCTTCGAGCGGGGGACCCGGAGGAAGACAGCGAGGTCATGGGACGGAAGCCGGAGTGTGCTTCCTCCGACTGTAATGTCTGTGGGTTCGGGAAGGAGGGGGGCATTCCGTTCTGTAAGGTGCTGGAGACGTCGAAGCAGTTAGTGAAGTGGAAGCACTACGGTGACCTGGAGAGGCCCGGGAAGACAACGCTAAGGGACCAAGTGTTGGAGAAGGAGGGCAAGCTCTGCAACCTGTGGGCGGACTTCAAAATGCACAGCAAGGTGTACATGGCGCATCACTCAAAGGCCAAGTGGCAGAGAAACTGCCACAACACCTGCCTACGAACGTTTCAGGACGGNGTCAAAGCAGTTAGTGAAATGGAAGCACTACGGTGACCTGGAGAGGCCCGGGAAGACAACGCTAAGGGACCAAGTGTTGGAGAAGGAGGGCAAGCTCTGCGACCTGTGGGCGGACTTCAAAATGCACAGCAAGGTGTACATGGCGCATCACTCAAAGGCCAAGTGGCAGAGAAACTGCCACAACACCTGCCTACGAACGTTTCAGGACGGCGACATAGTCATCGAAGCGGACTTCATCGAAAAGTACACCCATGAACCCCAAAAAGTTCTAATCTGCGCGAGACACGACACCATTACCCTCATGGTCGCCATCGTACACTTCTGCCCACAAGAATGGGAGGGCGGCGGCAGGGTCCACCTGAGCGAGACATGGGTTTTTGCTTCCGCGGACCCTGCCCACGACTTCGACTTCCATCTCCATGCCCTCAAGCAGATAGCTGACTACTACTTGGATGGTGAGGGGTCTGCAGCTACTGCATGTGCGAGGGAGGACAACCGGGTTCCGCGAATGCTCATGTTCACGGACGGCTGCGCCAAACAGTACAAGGGCAGGCGCAACTTTCTCTTTTTGTCCAACAGTGTGCGGGAACTCGGCTTTGTCGTGGAGCACCACTTCGCGGCAACCTCTCACTTCAAAGGTTGCCACGACGGCATCGGCGGCGTTGTGAAGAATGTCATGAAGAAATCGGAGCAGCTCGGCAAGCCGATCACCGGCGCTAAGGGTGTGGTGGAGTTTGTGGATAACTATTTTGCCGACATCAGCAAGAAGAGCCTCTCCGAATACTTCTCTAGATGGTCAGCGCGCCGTATCCGACGCGTGCACACCAAGCTCATTGGACCAACCGCGATCTACAGACCAAAGCGGGATCTTGTGGGCATCACCGGTACTCGAGATAACTACGTCTTCATTGGGGCCAACACGCCCACATTAGACGCATCCACCGCTACCAGACTTGGGAGAATGGCCGACGTTCCGGACGTCGTCAAGAGGGACTTGTCGTTGGCAACGGGAGTGGACGAAGGGGTGGTGAACGGGACGGGGCTCACAGTCATGGCGATAAAGGAGTATGTACCATGGAGCGCTGCTTGGGAGGAAAAGCATGGGGGGGGAGTGGAGAGCGATGGAGGTGGGGAGGAGGCTTCAGAAGACGAGGGGGAGGATAGGGATGGGGGGAGGCGAACCAGTCGGAAGCGGACGAGAAGCCAGATGCTCGTGCGCTCGGGTGAGGCTGAGGAAGAGGAGGAGGAGGAGGAGCAGGAGGAGGAGCAGGAGGAACACGATGCGGGGGCGGGGGCCGGGGCGGGGGGGCGCAGGCGTTGCACGCGGGTGAAGAACGTGACGCTGAGGGATCAGGGATGGGACGAGTCGTCGTCCAGCGAGGAAGACACCTCTGAATTCACGGGGGGGTTGGTGGGGGTGTGCAGGCGTTCGGGTCGCAGGCGGGTGAAGAACGTGACGCTCAAGGATCAGGGATGGGATCAGTCTTCCTCCTCCCAGTCTTCCTCCGGCGAGGAGGAAGAAGAATCCGAGCCGGAAGCAGAGGCAGCTGTGGATGGAGCGGATGGAGAGTATAAGGAGCGGGAGGGGGGGGGGGAATCATCGGAAGAGGAAGAAGTTGTGTCGGGGGTAGAGACAGTTAGTGTCGAGAAGCGTACCGTCGACCACGAGGTATACACCTCTCAATCGTCCTGTTTTTGCTCAGCCTGCCGAGTGCGTGGTTACGATAAGTGTTTCGTGTTCGCAAAGTACCCCGCTCTTGTCCCGAAGCTCCAATTGAGCGTAGTCGAGGAGAAGGTTGTCATGGATACCGGGGTAGATCCGGTTGGAGCGGAGGAGAAGGTTAAGGTTGTCATGGATACCGGGGTAGATCCCGTTGGAGCGGATGATGAGGTCGATGCTCGAAAGGAAAAACAGGAAATCAAGTTCCGCAAGAAGAGCAGCGTTTGTTTGATGCAGAGGGTTACCGGTACACAGTTTGAGGAAAAATACATAAAAAAACTTGAAGAGGGTGAAGAGGGGGTCGTGTAGGGTACGCGTCTTTCGAATTGTGGGGATATTTTGTGGGTGAACATGCGCCTTCCGGCACTAACATGTTTTTGTTTCTCTGTTTTTTTCTCACGGCGGCGGCGGTCAGATGATCACGCTAAAAATCGCCAGAATCCATATATTTAATGAGAATCATCAAAGTCTGACGCCGGATTCGTGTTCCCCGCCCCAAAATTAGCTTAGATGGAAAATTTCAGCTTCATCCGAGCCAATTTCAAACCAGGGGAGTTTTTGCGGCCATCCCCGGGTTCTGCGTTACGGATTCTTAGCCACCGAAATATACTAATATTGGTGAAACCCGGGCAAGACGAACGAGTTATGACCTCAAATTTTGCACAGCACCCTAACTTCATCATAGTACCATGCCATAAAAATTTCGGACCTTAGGGGGTACGTGGTGAGAAATCACGGAACCCCCCCAACAAATATTGAGCTTTAGCGCGGAACCCGCCCCTGGACATTCGGGGGTGTTCAGGATACATATTCTATCTCTTTTGTCTGCCCACCTCAGTCAGGCAGAGCGACATGAAAATGTTGGCCGAAGGCGCTATGTCCGCGATTTGATCCGCCTGCATAAAAGGGGCCGCCATGAACAGTTCAGAGCAGCTACCAGTTGAGAATATGGTGCGCATGCATCAATCGCCCACCTCGGGAAACACCTAGTGCACATTGTCGCTCTCATTCAACGGGGCACTATAGAGCTAGAGAGTCTCCTTGTACATCGGGTCTACTTGCAGTGACCGCACATGTGGCGGCCATAGGCGTTCCCTATTTCTATTCCACTCTATTTGCGCAATTTAAGGAGTCCAAGCTTGTACCTGCGCTCGGGCGGTGCTCATCTCCATAATTATCTATTAAGTTCGCTGTCTCATCATCCTTTCCCCCGTGTGGTACGTCTAAAGTGAAACTCGAGGACGTGAATATCCACTCCACTGCGACACGGTCAAAGGCACCTAGCGTATGGAGTACGACCGGGCATGGGGAGACAATTTTCTGCCTTTTCCGGCCTGGTGGTACAAGGTGCCCTTATTGCTTGGCTTGGGGTGGTACGGAGAGGCAGGCTACGATCGTGCTTTTCCTGAATCATCCACGGCTAAACAGACGAGATTCACCGCCTTTTGCGTACGACTTGGGCCAGAGATTGCGCATGTTCTGCGTATCGGGCCTAACCCATAGCTGCTAAACGTGAATACTCCTACCAACCCACCAGTGAAATTCGCCTCTGATTCCTTGTTGAAAACTCATCATTGCTGTTCACGATGATACGGCTCCGAAAATATTGTACCTTCACCAATTGCTCCGATTGTGGTACCACGTGGGCAACACGTAGGTGGGTCGAATGATCAACATTTTGACAGCTAGAAGAACTACCCAACCGCTTCAGCGGTAGACGTGTTGAGGAAAGTCAAAAACTTGCTAAGGCAGCTGTACACCTATCGCCACAAAGCCTTCTCTCTGAATCATCGATAAAGGTAGTGTTTTCCGCTCTCTATACCGGTGCTGTATCCTTCGTTCCCAAACGTAAACCAGGGAGAAGTTCTGATGTGAAGCGACAAAGGGCACCCTGACACCAATCTTCTTTAATACGAGAACGGCGAGTAATCACAACACGCTGTACGCCCCAGTCAACCAGTCAACCAAACATAGCTCCGTACCCTCGAAGAACCATGCCTGTTGTTATTGCCACATCGTCAATCTGCACCTGGTTGTTCCCGGGGGAAGCGGCGAGCACGGCAAGGACGACCACGCGGTTGTGATGGTATATCCCAAGACGACAGTGACAGCGCACACAATGTTTCGGGCCACCAGTCGACGGTAAACCGCTCGACCCGACTGGGTACTGACTTGGGATACCATGATGGGCTTTATGAACATCGCCAGCAGAAGCGTGAACTGAAAAGGAACGAACGATGGGCACACCAGGGACACACGAAAGACCAACAGAGGCGCAGCCGAAAAGCACCTCTTGGTTCGAGTTGCCGACGAGAATAGGATCGAGAGCATCATCAAAAATGTTCTTTCAACAACAGATTTCCGCCAGATGATTGGGCAAGTGCTGTGCGTGTCTATGGCAAGGTGCCCTCGTGAGAGAAACGGGGCCAACCACTCCTGTGAATGCTCTCCCCTAGCCATCACCGCCTCCTCCACCAGCCCTTCTTCGCTCTTCCCGATGAGGGGTACATCCTTGAGATTGCACTGGTCGTTCCCCGATAAAATCCTAATCAGAGAGGGCATGCTAGCACCCTATCACTCTACAGCTCCCAACTATTGTTATCTCTCAGCCCACCTGGATGACCAGCATCATGTTGTTGGTCACGAATCCCGTCGTATCTGAAATAGTCGTTGCCTCACCCTCAGCTGCAGACCCAGCTAGACAAAACGTCACCTGAAAGCATACGGTGGGGCAGCATCCGGTCTTGCAGATAAGCAAGTAAGTACCTCGTCGCCAGATCCGAAAGAAGTTATACATAGATCACTTTACCGCCGACTGGATATTGTCGTAAAGGCGTGGGTTCTACCTGTTGATTATCACCTCTTCATTTGCCATGCTAGGAAGAACGATTGCAACTCTGATGGTAACCGTCGGCCTGCGCAAAGCAAGAATTGGAGGAAGAGGCAGTTTCGTTCCGATGCGTTCCCGATTGTCAGACTCTCGAGGTTCAATAATTGAACGAGTTTCAAACGGTGAACATTGCGGCCCTGATACACATGCACGAAGCCGATGGTGCTCAAACCTTTCACGGGGAAACCGTGGCACAGAAAATGAATCTGGCACTGTCGTTGCATCTCTGCGTGCTACGGTGTTACCTTCAAGTCAACCACTATCTCAGCGTCGTAAATGTCCTCGTCCGTACAACATGTACTCACAGGTGTCCCCAGGCGTAGAAGCACGAGCACCACGTGATGCATTCTTCCCATGCAGCAAGGTTCCTGTTACCATTGGTGACACGTGCTTTTTCAAGGAGAAACAACACCAGGGTCGCCTGTGGTCGAACGAAATCGATGCCAGACCATCCGGTTTCTCTTAATGCACACCGCGTTTGCTGTTCACCCGTCACCGACTCTGCTTTGTGTCGATGCATGTTGCTCTGACCTGAACGTAACCTAGAGGGAGTGCACCACCGTTTCATACAAACATGGTCCTGCAGAAATAGACGGCATTCTAGTAGTCAACCTTCCCAAAATAATGCCTTCAGCTTACCTACAGGGCGATGGTAATCATGGCTCTCTTGGTATCCAGGCACGAGGCATCCGAACCGGGGAGCATGTACTTGAAGCATCCGGTACTCGCGTTCACAACGGCCATAAAGTGCATCATCAGAACCCCGTTGTGAGGCGTTCTAGCACCCCGCGACAGAGGGAAAAGAGGAACGAACGGAGAAAAGTTCTCGTTAACAGCATTCGAAGGCAATTTTGTGTACCGTTCGAAAAGATCGAGATCACAAGGCCAAACGTACGAGTACAACCTTGTTGGTAATTCTGTAGCCTTATTGTAATGGCGTCGGCGCAGCCCCGAAACCTGGACTGTCTCGGCGCGAAGCGCCGATTATTTTATGAGGGTCGTCTCCATGCGGCGGCACGTCCCCGACAACGTGTTTGCCTGCCCCCGACAACACCGAGAAATCTCGACGACATTCGGCGCGCAAATCTGCGGATGCCCCAAGCCCCACCAACCTGCGGCGAAAAACACATCCGGGAACCACGAAACCAAAAACCACTCGTGTTTCGCCCGCGATGCACCAAAATCTTGAATAGCGATGATTGGCTGGTCTACGGCCGCTGGTGATTGCCATTGGTAGAAAATGTGTCATGGATGAATGCATCGTGGAGGGGGACTACTCCTTGCCTGAGCTAAGGTGCCACGGATACCATCGAGCCATTCATGAGAGATGCTTGGAAACGGCATGCAACATGACCCAAAATATCCGCCAGATCAAGGCCGGCCCGCGCGTGTGTGTCGATATGCCTGTGTGTACGATTATGTCTTTTTTGGTCAAATTACCAGCTGCCGGACCAGCCGACCGCCGACTGCCGATTACCGGCCAGAAGGCTCGAAAAAGACTCAAACGTCGGTCGAATCCACCTCAAATTTAGCTAGAAAGTGACGAAGATTTAGCACACAACCCAAATTGTTTCCCTCCGGCTGGGGCCTGGGGCGGCGCCTGCGGTGGCCTGGCGCCGAAAGATGCCGGAGGCACTACTTTCGCATTGCCGTCAAGTCCCTGTTCTTGGGAAATGTGAACCTGCCTACCAAGCACTTGAGTACAATATCGTATTCGTAGTTTGTTTCGTGGTCGGTTGCGTTTTTCAGTCAGGGGTGCCATCCACAGATAACACGGCAACACGTACTTATGTCCTGTAGACGCTAGAATCACCGGTGACTTGATCTTGACCCCCACACGAATATATTTTATGTGCACCTGTGTGGAATGGCATTGCCACACATCTCTACATGAGGTTGAGGAAGCGGTACGGAAAATGGCCAACAGAAAGGCCGTCGGGCCGGACGAGCTGCCGGCTGAGCTGGTCAAGCTTTTCCTGGACGGAGATCAAGGTCTCCTCCGCGAATTCCACGCCATTGTCGTGGACGTGTGGCAGACTGGGGACGTACCACAGCAGTGGAAGGATGCCACCATCAAAGTACTGTTCAAGAAGGGCGACACGATGGAGTGCCGCAACTACCGGGGCATCTCTTTCGTCGCACACGCCGGCAAGGTGCTGCTTAAGGTCGTCGCTACACGACTGAGCCACTCCTGCGAGCGAGAGGGCAACCTCCCGGAGGAGCAGAGCGGTTTCCGCCCATACCGTTCGACGCTCGACATGCTGTTCGCCATCCAGCGGCTCCATGAGCTCGCGAGGAAGAAGAGTACTGCGGTGTTCGCGTGCTTCGTCGACCTCACCAAGGCATACGATTCGGTAGACCGAGACNTGAGCTCGCGAGGAAGAAGAGTACTGCGGTGTTCGCGTGCTTCGTCGACCTC